ATACAAAAACAAACCATGCAAGCTTTCTTCTCCGTAAACAATCTCGATTTCTATAAGAAATATGAACTTTTGTGACCAAATTCTGCTGTGCCTAACGGGGTTTCAAGGTTTGTTAACATAGGGGGTTTCAACTCAAAGGCTTTTTCTATGTTTAAATCTTTGTTTTCTTTCAAGAATATGGCCGGATTTCGTCCATTCACCACGAAGAAAAAGTGAATGGTCATTTGTTGGGCAAAAGGCTTATTTGTCAACTAGATGAACAGATATGAATGCTCACTCAAGAGGCAGGTTGCGTCTCCTAAACAAAAATAGATTTCCCTGTTGTAAATTAAATGTGGGAAGGAATTTGCACGTAGCATGGGGGCACTTCTTCAAAGCATATCTTTTTTCTATTGAAAATCTTGAACACTCCTCTTTTGTTGCAGTGTCGTCAAATAAGGGTAATGTAGTAGTACATAAATAAAATTTGGCACTGAAAAAATCCCCCCCCCCCCTCCTCACGCCTCCTTCAAATAAAAAACTTTTCGAGTTTGAACACTTGTTTTTCTTTTTGTTTGTTTCAGAGATTTTCGGTAAGTATTTTTTTTTCTCTACCCCCCCCCTTTTTTTTTTAACAAGAATGCGTTGTCCCTGCTAATATTCCTCTCGAGCGTCTTTAACAGATTTAACATTACAATCTCCTACCCAGATTTTCTAAAGGGAAACCCAGTTCCATGATGTGCCTCTAATGTGAAACTAATTTATTTGATTGAACGCCATTTTTTTACATACACGTAAACTATAGCGTTGTACAGGAACTGTAAAAAAATATTGACATAAAATACATGTATATGAAAAATATACATAGAGAGCAGCGGTTAAAATAAGTTCCTTAAGAATGGATTTTCTAAATTTGTTTTTGAAACCATTAATAAGTTTTTATTGTATAATATGCAAAGGTAGTTCGTTCCATATTAAAATTTTGGTGCGATGGTACTAAGATTCATGTCGCTGAACTTTTTTCGTACCATCAATGGGACTGTATAACAGCTTTTGGGAAAAACGCACTTTTTTATTTGAATTTTATTTTGACAAAAGTTCAATTACATATTCTAGTGACTGGACCACTAAACAGTTACACATTAACGTCAGAATTTTGAATGGTATCCTAAATTTGATATTAGAATTCTATCAGCATTCAAAATGCTACAAAACACAACAAGCCTTCTCACTGCGGATTGAATACATAGTAGGGATTCTATGCATTTTCAATACTCTTCAAACACTTAAATGTGCATTGTTATGACTCAATTTAATTAAAATCAATGGACCTGTTAATTTATCGTAAAAATGTAATATTTGTACGTCACCCCCCCCCCCCTTCTCGCATTTAACATTCAACGTCACATACGACTCTTACATGTACATCTTTGAAGCACAACAGGTCTGAAAGGCGCTAAATTCAGTAGAAATGATAATGAAAATTACGGTTATAAAGATATAGAAAATTAGAGAATTCTAATACTGTATAAGAATTGGATTCTTAGTTTTGGATGTCGAACGTCTTATAACATGTGTCACCTGTAATCATCATAATAACACATTTTAACAGCTAAATAAAATTTTATAAAATGCAGCTCATTTTGCTTTAAATTTTTGGCATGACATGGCACTATTATACGACCGACGATATAAAAAAAAGAATTTGAAATGCGTACGTCTTTGCACGCAGGTGAAAAACAAATCTTGTGCCTTCCATGTAGCCATTCACTTTTTCTTCGTGATGAATGAGCCAGAAATCCATATTCAAAGATTAAAACATAGAAAAAGACTTACAATGAAAGATTTCAATAGAAATAAAAGTTATGCTTGGAAGAATGACACCCCCCTCCCAATCCCACATTTACTACAGGGAAATCTATTTTCTTGTGTAGGAGACGCAACCTGCCTCTTGAGTGAGCATTCATATCTGTTCATCTAGTTGACAAATAAGCCTTTTGCCCAACAAATGACCATTCACTTTTTCTTCGTGGTGAATGGACGAAATCCATATTCTTGAAAGAAAACAAAGATTTAAACATAGAAAAAGCCTTTGAGTTGAAACCCCCTATGTTAACAAACCTTGAAACCCCGTTAGGCACAGCAGAATTTGGTCACAAAAATTCATATTTCTTACAGAAATCGAGATTGTTTAAGGAGAAGAAAGTTTGCATGGTTTGTTTTTGTATCAATCTTTATCTATCATCCTTAAAATGAGCTATAAACGTACGTTTTTTTTTTTAAATAAAAGAGCAAAGTATGTCAGCGACACCACAACTTTTTCCAGTCGACTGAACTGTCCAGAAGTGTTAGCATAAACCGTAAGGCTTTCAAAAAGCCTATTGCACTAAATTGGTAGGTAATACATTCTTACAACCTGTGCGCATGTCATTTGGCTCCAAATAATTCATTAGCAGAGAACTTTTACGAATATATTTTCCAAATGCAAAAAATCACCGCTTCGGAGTTGAAACCCCATATGTTACTTAACCGAAACCCCGCATGTGCCCCTTTACACGGTGATACATGCACAGGCAATCTCTACTGTAATATTTGTGTATATATTTTTCATTTATTTTTGTTAAAAATGACATATAGGTCCGATGGGCCGGATGTTTGGATATTAATTGTTGTATTAAATGTTTCTTCTTGTACTGTATAACATCACTATAATAAAAGATTTACTTACAGTACTTATATCCATTATATAGGCATTGAAAATTGGGCTTTAACCGTTTTAGTTGGTTTAGTCCCCCACCCCCACCCCCACTTTCAATTATCTCCCCCCACTTTCTTTTTTTATTCATAATTCTTTATTTTTGTTTTTCATTTAAACAATAGAATGCTTTCTTTGTTTGTTATTGCTGGAATTAACGGAAGCAGCTGTTGCAGACAAAAATACCTAACCCGCGAAGCGGGTTATGTAAATTTTTTCTGCAATAGCTGCTTCCGTTAATTCCAGTAATATATAACAAACAAAGAAAGACATTTTATTGTTTATATTTATATCTGTTTAAATAATCATTCAAAGTAGAATTAAAAAGATTAATTATTGTATTAATTATGCAAACGTCTTTATACGTTTCATTGATGGAACACCCACTGATCAAGAAATATGAACAGGCGACATGCCTAATGTAGTTCATGTAGTGATTAACGCAATGGGTTTTCTTAAGAAATAACGGGGAAAATATTCAGTGGATGTAAATATATTCTGTTATTTCATACAATAAATGATTAATAACACATACAGAGGATGTAATTTTTTTCATCTTAGAAAGAGATGGAAAGAGAGAGAGAGAGGAGGAGGAGGAGAGGAGAGAGAAAGCTAGGGAGGGTAAGAAAAGGAGAAAGGAGTGCGTGCATACATAATATCTACATAAATCTAAAAATTCATTGAAATAAAAGCTTCCAACAGTTCCAGCAGGTATCAAACAAAATCCTTTTCACCATTTCTGTATGCAATATATTTTTGAGTTTCATAAAATGTATTCATAAGCGCATTTCAAATTTTGTCAAAAACAGTATTTTACTCGTAATTTGATATAATAGATTACTAATTTGATATATAACAGATTACTAATTTCTTATAACAGATTAATAATTTGATATAAAAGATTCTTAATTTGATATAACAGATTTATAAACAGATAAACCAGATTACTAATTTCTTAAAATAGATTACTAATTTGTTGTAACAAATTACTAATTTTTTATAACAGATTATTAATTTGATACAACAGATTATTTATTTGTTAAAACAAATTATTAATTTGAAATAACAAATTAGTAATTTAATATAACAAATTAGAAATTTGATAAAGCAAATTACTACTTTTGACAAAATTTGAAATGTATACAGATCTACGAAAGCCAGATCAAATCAAAAATCTTAGTATAAGTCGGATTTCTGAAAATAATTCGCAACTGTCAAAGTTTTTGGCCAATAATAAGGCTTTAGTGGGTCTTTTGAGAGCTTTTCCAGCAAGTCCTTTTTTATTATAAAAATTTCACGCATACGAAAGAATTGAATGACATTTGATGTATTTCATATTAAATTTTACCAAGAGCTACCCACTCAAGAATATTCTGGTTTTTTTTTCTTTCGTTCTCCGGGGAAGGTTGTTACGGAATGTATTTTTTGTCGATAATTTATCTGCAAATTCATTTTGATCAATGTTGCCTTTGTTGCTCACAGCTTTATACAGAACCATGGTGGTCCACCACAGGAGCAGATCCAGGAATAGGGATTTTTGATTTAATTTACTTATACATGAGTTGGGTTGAACAGTAGGCATAAATGCCTGTCGAACAGCAGTATTAAATTCAAAGTAGATTATATATATGTTACATGTAAACAGAGAGAGAGAGAGAGAGAGAGAGAGAGAGAGAGTTAAAATGAACAAAAACAAAACACAAATAAAAGAATTTATATTGTAACATTCTGTTGCATGCCTTAAATAAGATAACATTTTTTCTAGCATACGAATTCGTTGATATGACTGCACAGAGTCATGTACAATTTTTTTTAATTCTTAGAAGCTAAATAATGAAACTATGTCCAACATAATGCATCGGGCAAATAAAATTTTTTAAATGGCGAGAATTACCAATTGACGATTCTTTTGCCTAAACATGCTCAGAAATCCAGCTTTTTTATAGCCTATGTTTTTAATCATTTTCTATGAACAAAATGTCATAATTGACATCGGGATCGGATACATAAAATAGATTGTCTCTGGCAGCACATATGGCTTGTGAATACTTTCTATAATTTTTTTGTACAATATACAATACACATTCACAACTCAATCATTACACACGGTAAATGGACTGTTGTGATATAGGCCTAACGTTACACAGCAGACTCCAGACAGAGCCGGTCTGCAAATCGAAAGAAGGTTGTTTCATTTATGGGGGTGACAGGATGAGTTTTCACTTTCGCATTTCCTATTTATGTTTATCCAAAGTGAAAACCATTCAAAATTTAATTTGTTAAAGAATAGAAAGAAGTTTTCTTATCCTAAGTTTGATTTAGTATGAAGAATTTTTTATTTAATTCCCGAAATTACCGAGCAAAGTTTATCTTCACACCCCTGTTGTTGATAGTGACCTCACCTGTCAACAACTTCGCAATTCAGTTGCAGAAGAATGTGGACCCCTACGTTTGGTGTTTGCCTTATTCTAATTTTCATTAATGGAAGCTTCTCAAAATGTGGATATCAGGTTTGCTTTTTTTCATGATTTTTATGTCACCTTGCAATATTTGGCAAATGTTCCTATTATTGCCTTGATTAAGCAAACAATTTTGTTCAGCATGTGACAGTTATAAAAAAGGCGCAGAAAGGTGACGATAGTTTTGACTTTTGACATTGTTTTGGCTATATCCTGTTATCTGCAACGCGTTGCTTATAAGTTTTGGGGTACTTCTACTATATTTGAAAGGATGGATGGTATTCCAACATTATCAGAAAAAGGCAAATTATCGATCTTAACGTTTTTACAGAATAAGCCGCATCATTTAAAACTATCCTAATAATAAACGTACTTACACACAAAAGCAAAAGAAATGTAATTAGCAAAATACCGGTACCAGGAAATTGCATATTATCATATTTTATGCTTTTACGGAATAAGCAGCATGATTTAATTTTAATTCCTTTACGGAATAAGCCGCATGATATAATTTTAACTCCTTTACGGAATAAGCCGCATGCATGATTTTAAACCATCCTTAAAAAACAAACACACACAAAAACAAATTGAATAAAACAAAACCCTAAAATGTAGTTTACAAAGAAAAAGTACCAGCTAGGTAAACACAAAATTAACCAAAAGAGCAAACACAGTCACACAAAAACGAAAGCAAAAGAAAAGAAATCAAAACGCTTTTACCATTGAAAATCATGAAACACGTGGTATTATTGTTGATAAACACCTAGAGCAATTACCCCAGACTGTATAAAGTAAAGGTTTTTCAATCATGTCAATATTCGACTATCAAAATCATCTTCCAGGAAAACAGTCCGTTTATAACAGAGGTTTTAACTACATAACAATGAAATTCGTCGCCTTATACTCCTGTTATTTGCAACGCTCTATGGTGAAATCAATCATTTTATTATGGAGCGATGCGTGCAACGCATGCAAAATAAAATAGCGCTTTATTCCGTCAAATGTCTATATTTTTATCTTGATTCCCCCAAAAAAGCCAAGCCCCATTTTTTTCTTATATTAACCCCCCAAGAAAACCCTCTTCCTGGGGAAACTTCCCCTTTATGTACACTTATATAGTTTTAATATCATGGAAATAAAATTCGTCGCCCTATATATATACTCCTGTTATTTGCAACGCTCTATGGAGAAATCGACCATTTTACTATGGAGCGTTGCGTGCAACGCATGCAAAATAAAATAGCGCTTTATTCCGTCAAATGTCTATATTTTTATCTTGATTCCCCCCAAAAAAGCCAAGCCCCATTTTCTCTAATCTTAACCCCCCAAGAAAACCCTCTTCCCGGGGAAACTTCCCCTTTATGTACACTTATATAGTTTCAATTTCATGGGAATAAAATTCGTCGCCCTATATATATACTCCTGTTATTTGCAATGCTCTATGGAGAAATCGACCATTTTACTATGGAGCGTTGCGTGCAACGCATGCAAAATAAAATAGCGCTTTATTCCGTCAAATATCTATATTTTTATCTTGATTCCCCCCCAAAAAGCCAAGCCCCATTTTTTCTGATATTAACCCCCCAAGAAAACCCTCTTCCCGGGGAAACTACCCCTTTATGTACTCTTATATAGGTTCAATAGCAGGTAAATAAAATTCGTCGCCCTATATATACTCCTGTTATTTGCAACGCTCTATGGAGAAATCGACCATTTTACTATGGAGCGTTGCGTGCAACGCATGCAAAATAAAATAGCGCTTTATTCCGTCAAATATCTATATTTTTATCTTGATTCCCCCCAAAAAAGCCAAGCCCCATTTTTTCTAATCTTAACCCCCCAAGAAAACCCTCTTCCCGGGGAAACTTCCCCTTTATGTACACTTATATAGTTTCAATATCATGGAAATAAAATTCGTCGCCCTATATATACTCCTGTTATTTGCAACGCTCTATGGAAAAATCGATCATTTCACTATGGACTGATGCGTGCAACGGTATCTAGAATCAGAGAATCTGCTTCATAATTTTAATTTGAATTATTCTTAGACACCTTAAAAATAGTTCCCTGTAACTTGCTTTATTTTCTCAAATATACATGAACGAATTGAATTTAATTTAATAAGAATCGGGTATGTAATTTCAAGTGACAAAAACTTAAATGCAACGCGTTGCAGATAACAGGATATAGCCATTGTTTTTATGGAGAGAAACTCAAAATGTATCCCCTACAGATCATTTGGAAAAATTTAAAAAAAAAAGATATTAGAAAGGACGAAAAAGGATTTTAATTGAGGAGGTGCATGCAGATGGGTATTGAGATCTGCCAGTAGCTGATTATGCAGTAATGCCATAGGAACAACTATATGGTGTATTTGTACCTCCATACAAGATTTTCCCCACTTTTTAAAAACCATTTTACCTCCTTACAAAAAATTTCTACTTGTAACAAAAGAAGAAAATAATGTACGTGGCTGGACCCTACATATGTACTCCCACAATTAAGAGCTTTGGTTAACGTCCCTACGCACCTTATATGCCTCGTTACGCGGCACTAATTAAGTTAAAAGTATCTCAATGTGAACCTCTAGCATGCTGGAGTAGGCTGGAACTACACCTGGAATTGAACCTGTGACCTGTGCATCACTACTGGTGTTCTACTAACTGAGCTATCAAGCTAGGCCAACATCCTTGGCTCAAGACATTGCATTCCCACTCCTTAAACTGACTCTCTGTCCTTGAAGACACAACCCTTGTTCTTATTATCACCTTCCAGGACTTTCACCTGCAAGTCAGGGGTGGTTAATGGCACCAAATCTGTAACAGTAAAGGAGAAAATGTATGGATGGACCAAGAATTAAACCCAGGAACCCTGAGGTGCTCTACTGACTGAGCTACCCAGGCCGATATCCATGGCCCGAACCATTGCACGCTTTCATGTCATGAATTTTATTCAGCATTTTATTTTTCCATCAGTTTTATGTGATAAATAAATTCATTTGGCAGCTGTGAAATAGCTAATATTCAGACCCTTGTCACCCAAAAAGGAAAGTGCAATATAAAGTAACAATCACACAGAAGTCCTTGCTTTATTATTTCAAGAAAAATACAAAGAATAGTATCAAATATAGATCTTATTTGTAGTGGCCGATAAGTTAAAAGTTTTGACATACATGTACCTATTAAAGATTGCTATTGATATATAAAGCATGACTTTCAATGCTTTGACAGAGCTGTAACCCTGTTAAGGATGGAATGATTAATGTCCACTTGGTTCCTCATACTCATGATGATGTAGGCTGGCTTAAAACAGTGGACCAATATTATTATGGAGGTAAGGGGCTAACTTTCAGGAATCATTTTAATTTGCAAATCTTATTTTTAAAACATTTGTTTGAATAAAAGGAAATACAGCATGAAAATATCAGTTTGACAATTATTAAAAAACTCTATTCACTGAAGGATAGATGGACCCTTCTTTCAATTTGACAAATATTTAGAATTTTTATTCAATGTTATTAGGAAATTCCTTGTCAGTGCATCCGCATTTCAATTTGACAGATGGAGATTTTTAGAATTTCCTGCTCTTTCTTTGCAAGAGTAATAGTTTTATATATTCAAAGTTTATCCTTTGGATTATAAAAATTCTCTCTTCATAAGCTGAGTTTTGGAACACCCATGTAAAAGTGTTGTTCAGACTCTTGATGCCATTTTTTCTGAAATTAATGTTCATCTGAATCTACCTCATCTCTCCTTGTTGGAGAATTAACACCTGAGTTATTTCCCTTGAAATTAAACTTGATATAAGAAATGATTATCTAACATGTATATCATATGTAGCAATGGTTTTGATTCTTGCATTAAAATAATAAGTTGTGTAATATTTTAGACAAGAATGATATACAGAATGCTGGAGTGCAGTATATACTGGACTCGGTTATCCAGGAACTTACGGCAGACAAAACCAAAAGATTTATTTATGTGGAGGTTGCTTTCTTTGCACGATGGTGGAGGCAGCAACATGACAGGATCAGACATCTGGTCAAAGGACTCGTTAATGAGGGTAATGTGTAATTCAGAGGGTGTGAAGCGATGCTCTCTGTTTAAAATGTCTGCGAAAACTTGATAAAAAAAGTTATTGTCAATGAAATATTATATCTCCATAGTGCATACTGGTACACTATAAAATTAGTAAAACTAACAATATTTACTAGCTCTAGGTTTATATTTACAATCAGTATTGAGGTACACAAAGTACTTCTGAATTTTATTACAGGGCGATTCATAAACTTGTGATATCGTTTATAACAAATTATTAGGTAATTTATTTGAAGCCCTTGAACTCGAGAGGACAATTATGCTAAAAATAAAAATATCTCTCTTATTTACAATTCATTGTCCTTGGATCAACAAATTAATAGGGGTCTTTGCAAGTCAAGACCATGTACATGTAATAAACATGATAAAGAAAGTTGATAATATCTAGAATTTAAGTCAATGACCATGCAAGAAAACAACATCAAATAAGGTCTTGATCATGAATGAAATGTTTTAGAAATGCTTAACAAACCAGTAAAGTTGAAAAGCAACTACACGATTATGTGTATGGTGTATAAAATTTAGAAAACTGTGATAATTCAGGAAATCAGTTTATCAAAAAGAGAGTACCAGGGTACATGTATATACTGCTCCTTCACGAATTGTTACTTTCGTTACTATAACCTATACAATACTTGTAGTAAAATAGCTAGGGCCTCAAAGCACCCAGCTTCATAATACTTTAATTTGTTATTTCCATAAAAAAATATTTCTTGAGTTTAAATTTCTTAAATTGGAGGTTTTTTTATATCTTCATGTAATTATATAAACTCCAGGCATTAAAAAAAATTTTGACTGTGTTTTTCAATGTATGTAATGTTGAAATACTATATCTTTGTACTTCTGGACAGGGCGCCTTGAGTTTATCTTAGGTGGCTGGTGTATGGATGATGAAGCCACCACACATTATAATGCAATCATTGATGAACATTCTCTGGGATTGGAATTCCTGCGACAGAACTTTGGAGATTGTGGCAGACCTCGCGTAGCATGGCAGATTGATCCATTTGGACACTCCAGGGAGCAAGCTTCCCTCTTTGCTCATGCAAGTCTCTCCTACTAAACTAGTCCTTGACTAAATGTTTACTTTTTCTTTCACGCATAATTTATTACACAGAAAGTGATTGTGATTGTGCAGCAGGCAAATTCATTTTAGCCTTCTCCCCAAATACCTGTTGTGAATCAAAGCATCTTACTAACTTTGGTCATTGATTCAGTTTGAAGAGTTTGCTTTATAAAGATTTTATTATAGAAGAATTACTGTTACAGATGGGATATGACGGCCTGTTCTTTGGACGTTTAGACTATCAAGACAAGTTTAATCGAGCTCTAACAAAATCCATGGAAATGATTTGGCAGGGCAGTCCCGACAATTTAGGTATGTAAAATAAACATGCTTTATAGTAAGCTTTTGTGTCATGCTTCTTTCTTAAAGGTTTGTTTATATTGTAACTTGCTTTAGTTTGTAAACGACCTTTCTTTTTATTCTAGGTCCCAGCAGTGACTTGTTCTCGGGGGTCCTGTACCACGGCTACAATCCCCCACCAGGATTTTGTTGGGACTCGTCCTGTCATGATGATCCTATCATGGTGAGTGTGTGTGTATTGATCTCAGTTCCCATACTGTAGAACTTTGAGTATTTTCACAAAGTTTCTCACTAGATTTCTTGGTACAGTTGTATCGATCTCAGCTCATGGAACTTGAGTGCTTTGACCATTTGTGCAAAATTTCTCACTAGAATTCTCAGAACGGCTTAAAACAATTTGTAGCACATGATGTGCTTAGAAGACAGAGAGCAAATAATACTTCAAAAAGAAGCATCTGCTTTTTATCTCACACATATAGAGAGTAGATTGTAATGGATACATTTAGCTAAACTTGAAATAAAAATGTTGAAATAAATTTTGTAGGATGACAAAAGTATGGAAGGCTATAATGCAGATCAGAAAACAAAAGCTTTCCTCAACTATACACAGAACCAGGTAAACTATTGAATCACTGCTACAAACAGGACAGGTAAACTATCCTATCACAACTACACACAGAACCAGGTAAACTATCCTATCACAACCACTATAAAACCAGGTACACTATCCTATCACAGCTACACAGAGAACCAGGTAAACTATCCTATCTGAATCAGGTAAACTATCCTACCTGAATCAGATAAACTATCCTATCTGAATCAGGTAATCTATTCTATCTGAACCAAGTAAACCATCCTATCTGAACCAGGTAAACTATCCTATCACAACCACTATAAAACCAGGTACACTATCCTATCACAGCTACACAGAGAACCAGGTAAACTATCCTATCTGAATCAGGTAAACTATCTTACCTGAATCAACTAAACTATCCTATCTGAACCAGGTAATCTATCCTATCTGAACCAGGTAAACTATCCTATCACAACCACTATAAAACCAGGTACACTATCCTATCACAGCTATACAGAGAACCAGGTAAACTATCAGGTACACTATCCTATCTCAATCAGGTAGACTATCCTATCTGAATCAGGTATACTAATCCTACCTTAATTGCACACACAAAAAAGGTAGACAATTCAAGTGCAAACAGACCCATGTAGACTTTTTTGTATCTCTTACATATGCAGAATCACATAGACTACCATATCCCAATTACACACTACCATGCTACCTCAATGACATACTAAACCAGGAAGACTATCCTACATGTACTCATATAACACACAGATGCAGATAGGTTTCTCTACCTCAGTCCTACTCAATGGGAAGGACTATCCCTCCTCAACCATACATAGATCCAGGCATATTATCCTACCACATATACAAAATCAGGAGTTAGAGCTAATTTACTTCCAGAACCAGGTAGAATATAATTTTATTGTGAGAGAGTTTTCCCATCCTTTGATACAAGTGCTATATGGTTGATTTTGATTACAGGCCACTGCTTATGCTACCAATCACTTGATGATGACGATGGGAAGCGATTTCAACTACCAGAATGCTCACATGTGGTTCAAGAACATGGATAAACTGATCAAGCTTGTGAATGCTCAGGTATTGGTAACACTACTACTTCTCTGAGAAAGAAAAAGTGCTTGATTGAAATTTGAACATAAAAGAAGACAATATGCAAAAACTTTTTCTCATAATTTCAGCAAGACAATGGTAGTAAGGTGAATCTGCTCTACTCCACGCCCAGCTGTTATCTGTATCAGCTGAACCGAGCCAATCAAACCTGGCCCACCAAGAAAGACGATTTCTTCCCGTACGCCCACCTCCCCCACTCCTACTGGACGGGGTACTACACCAGTCGCCCCACCCTCAAGGGCTATGTCAGGCAGACAAACAGTTTTCTACAGGTAGGGACTCAAATCTTGAATGTAAAGGACTAAGATTTACAAGAATAAATTTTATAAGTACTGCTTGATTGGGTTTACTTGGTTTCTTGTTAGTTTTGCCAATTTTCCTTGAATGTTACCTTTCTTAAGGTATCATAAACTTTCTTATTACATGTATATCATGAAAAATTTGTTGTTTTTTTGTGTTCTTAAATGGCACTTTTAATGTACATGTATGTATGTAACAAGCATGACCATTGACCCTTGACCTCTGTTTTAGGTGTGTAAACAGCTGGATGCTTTGGCTGTGTTAGAAGATTCTGACAACAGTACACTCAACATCAAAGTCTTAAGTATGTTACAGGATTATAATCTTTTTACGTTTTATGTTGAACTTTATATATGCATCATGAAGATTTCTGATTGTTGAATTTTGTTTTGAAAGACAGTGATTGCCTTGATGACTATCTAGGGAAATGAGTCACCCAACATTGACACATGAAATAAAAATTGAAAAGAAAAATAAAATGACCATAAAAAAAACTTTTTTTATGTGTATATTTGTTAGATTTATATTTGAATTTGTTTTACAGAGGAAGCAATGGGTGTGGCACAACATCATGACGCTGTGTCGTAAGTATTGTTGTTATACAGTCATTCATAAACGAAAATTGCAGAAAAATGGGGAACTCTTTCAAATGATCTTTAAGAATTATTTATTCATTGTGTTTATTAAATGAAACAGTATGTGCAGTTTTATTTCTAAAGTTGTGAAAAGTTGCAAGTTTTGCATTGTTCAGCAGATTTTTTTAAACACATGAATCCATTTATATGGAAGGAGAAAGACCAGTCTATAGTTTTAGGCATCGTCGGAAACCCACGGGTGATCTCGTCTTTACTTATCACCCGTGGGCAAACTAGCTGAAATATTGCTGTAAAATATGCTAATTTGTTGTTTTTAGTCAACCAATCAGAAAGTTGGAACTCTTCAATTTTGAAAAATATGTTTATTACTTTGCTATTTATGGTAAATATTTTGACGCTCTAAACGTTCAAAGTTTGATTTAAAACATTGAAAGTCAATTCGTACAGGTCACTGACATTAATATCCGTCAGATATTATGAAGGAGTACCTCTTTCTAATGCAAGATGCACCGGTAAGTGGATTTATCAGCTGTGTTAACTACGGAATGAGTTTTTCATGTTTTTGGCAATGCCGAACATGCATATGTAACATGAACTGTGATTCGTTGTTTCGCATCGCGACTCTGTGATGCGGCCAATCAGATGACCCATGCATATTTAATTACATACGACAATTTTTCGGCGAGTTTGCCCGCGGGTGATAAGTAAAGACGAGATCACCTGTGGGTTTCTGACGATGAGTTTTAGGATGATACATGTATATTTAATTTACTGAATTGTTTTACAGGGGAACAGAAAAACAGGCTGTGGCTTATGACTATGCAATGAGGCTAGCCAGGGGAAATTATGAATGTCAGGTGAGCCTCACAACTCTGTGCTGCATACACATTTCTAATATAGTGCATAAAAATTTAAAGTGAAGATACTTTTTTCTCATTAAGCTTTATGTAATCATGATTGGTTGATGTTTTGTTATATTCATCTCTTTTATAGAAAGTGGTCAATGATGCCTACAAGAAATTATTTCCAAAACAGAAAGAAGCCCCACCAGACCAGCTGTTCTGTAATCTGTTGAATATCAGCATGTGTCATGCAACAGAAAATAACAAACAGGTCTGTGTTTGTATAAATAATCTAATGCAAATATTGTCACACTCTTCTGTAAAATCACCACACCTTCTGTAACAATTTTATTTATTGAACCTTTGGCAGTTTACCATGACTGTGTACAATCCTTTGGGAAGGTCACTGAATCACTGGATACGACTTCCTGTCATAGGTAGATCCTATGTCATAACAGATCCCAATGGCAAGAGTATACCATCGCAGGTTTGTATCAACTACATGTACAAGAAAAAAATTAATCCTTAATTTTCCTCTTTCTTTTAAAATTACCTTCTTCCCCTAATTTTATTTGACTCTGTTTTTAAATACAGGTGTTTTTCTCCATTTGAATTAAAAGATTAAAAAATCCCTATATTTATCATGCAGATACATTGTACACGTGTGCATTAAAATCAGACCTGTAAAGGAGTTTTAAAAGTTTAAAGAAATAATTTCTCAAATAAAGAAACCTTTGAAGCTATCTTGTTATTCAAACAAATCCTTGACATTTGATCTTATGACCTTTGACCTACAGGTTTTACCCATCAGCAGCGAGACTAAGAAAATCCCAGAGAGGAATGGATCCCTGGCAGAGAATGAACTTGTTTTCAATGTCTCATTACCTCCCCTTGGCTTCAGCACCTTCTTCATCAAAATGAGCCAGGGTAAGTCTACATGTATACATAGGTGAAATG